TTTTACACAACTGATCGAGTGCTATTGGGCATTAAATATACATATAATGTATGATCATGTAAGGCTTTTATATATACACTAGAAAAGTAAATATAGCAGTGTTTTGGGCAATTCAAATATCATGACTAAAGAAATGTAAAAAGTCTGATTTGCTTTAAAGCAATATTAACTTTACTGTGGTTTTATGGAACAAAACCCACGATATTAGAGGGACATACATGTGAATGTTTTAAAATGACTTGTGTTTATATCTCTTTCTTGTGATTTCTCTTCCATTACCATAAGAGAACAGCAGGTTTAGCATGCTTTTTTTTTAGATATAACTCCAATGAAAAAATGCACAATTATATGCATGCAATTTTTTATTTTGGGTATATTTATTTTCTATTTGGCCAGTGGAGTGTCCCTTTTAAAGCAGCGCAAGAGCCCTTGGGGCCTGTTAAGAGCTTGTGCACTGGCTGTACACTTGTGCTGTTGGCGACTCATATGGCTACTAAAATAGTCAGACAAATCTTCATTTTAATATTTTATCCATAGTCTAATTTTTCCACGCAGTTAATTTTTTCAAATTGCATTTAGTGTGATTAGATTGTGAATATCTCAGGATATACCTAATAACAAAGCAAGGAGATCACATATTTGTAAGTTATATTTTTCATATTAATTAGGACTTTAAATTTAAAAAAAAAAACACCAAAACATTTTAGATGTTTGATTGAAAGGGCAGACAGATGTTTTACATAATCCTTAGCGGTATGCTTGACAACTACTATCTTAAATAAAATATGTTTCTTTGAAATCCAATTTTTTATGCCATTTAGAGAACATTAAGAATAAATTAAGAAATTAAAAGACAAAAGCATTTGCGTTGGTAGCTTACAGCAAAGTTTGCCTTTTAAGTAAAAAAAAAAATCTGTTCATGAATCTTTTCTTGGGAATCACAGCTGGGCAATTCAATAACTCCGCAAGGATAGGAAGGAAGGGTCTTATCAGACATTTGCTTGGAGTACTTTTATCTTGTTGGCACTTAGTCCAGTGAGACTGTACATATAGAAGACAGATTGGTGTTTAAGCTCCCTGTGGACTGCACAATATTGCTCTTTCTGCTCTTTTCAATAACTTCAATGAAGAGAACCTGGCAGTTTATTTTAAGGATCATACAGTAAAACACTGTGTTTGAAGAAGGAGCCAAAAGACCTTTAAAGACTTAACTTATGAAATAATAATACACAGTTTATATGTGTTATATATAAATAGTAAAACAGAACAAACAATTTTGACTTACATATAAAGTAGCTTAGAATTTAAAGGGACACTATAGTCGCCTGAACAACTACAGCTTAATGTAGTTGTTCTGGTGAGTAGTGTATGTCCCTGCAGGCTTTTTTAATGTAAACACTGACTTTACAGATAAAAGGTAGTGTGTACTGCTCTAACTGTGGAGACGCTTAATGTTCCTCATTGATTCAATACATCTCTGTGAGGAGATATTGATTGGCACAGCGTGCCGTTTTACCGCGCATGTGCAGTAGCCTCCCCCCAATGCTTTCCTATGAGATTGGCTGCAATTACTATAGTGTCAGGAATGTAAGGAGGTATAGTCATATACCTAGTAATTTTAGAATTTTTAAAATGTTTTTATATTTTCCCCATTATTTAGTAAGTTTTTATTGTTTCCTTTATCCCACCTTTTTCAAGATAAAAATTTCCAAGGCACTTTTAATTACAGTGATTTGAAGTGGTCATGGTGGTAGGAGTCTGCATCTGCAGAGTTTCTGCTTGCAACACTGCACATAATATTTATGTTTAGTTTTGTGCTGGGGACTACTTTCACCCCCAGCACACGTGCATTAAACAGCATAGAAATCTGTTTCAGGCTTCATAATGTCAATGCATATTTTAGCTTTTTCCTCGCAGGGTTTGCTCCTTCTTACTTCCCTACGCTAACTGAAAAGCCTTTAAAAAAAAAAATTCAATAATTAATATCTACTTTCCCCCATCTCTCCCCTTCTTCCTCCCCTCTTCCCGCCCCGGTTCAGATTGCATGCATGGCTCTGAGAAGCCTGTGATTGAACCGCACTAGGCCCCATGTGACGTCAGGATTGGGCATGGAATTCAGGTCTGGGAGCTTTGCCCTGCCCTAGCTTCTATGTAAGTAAATATTTTTTTTTGTAAGTTTTACTGCAAACGCAAGGTGGGGGGCTTAATTCATAGTGTCCAATAGGGCATATTACAGAAATATCTCCCCTCCAAAGGATTGGAGTAAACCTTTAAATTGTATATATATATATTTTAAAAAATTAGCCACACAATAATCCAAATCCTATCCAAAATACCTATGCACATTTAAATTACAGAGGCTTTTAGCATCATTATAATGGCCATTAAAGAGTAAGGTCATCTGCCTAAGTGAAGGTAGTTAATCCTGCATTACCTATTAAGCTTAACAAAATAAAATAACTAATGAGACAGTAAGAGGTATTCCCAGGGCCATCTTTACCTATGGACACACTGGGTAGTTGCTGGGGGCTCCAAAGGCATGGGGGCCCCACCGCGCTGCCCAGCGTGCCTGGCCGACACGGCCCTTTGATCAGGGAGAGAGGGCGGGAGGACCCAGAGGCAGGGGATGGATCTGGGAAGCATATCGCTCCTCCCATGAGCAGGCTGTGTGAAACGTTGCCGAGCGTCACTACGGCAACGCTCCACACAGCATTCTTTGCATGGGAGGACAGGAGAGCTGCTGCCTGACGAGCTGCAGCTACATAGAACTTACCACCACTGGACCACCAGGGATGGCTGTGTCCCTCCCTCCCTCCCTCCACCAAAGGTAAGAAGAAGGGAGGGGGGATTTATTAATGTATACGGTTATTAAAAAAAAACAAAAAAACATTTGATACCTGGACCCCTCAAATTCTGCAACACACACACATATAATTTAAATTTTTATTCCTTTGAGTTGTGTGTAGGCAGGGCCCCAGTGCACTGCTTTGCCCAGGGAGCCCATAATGATGTTAAGATGGCACTGGGTATTCCCATGAATCCCTACCAAATAATTAAGCCTAAATAAGGAACACATGGGGAGAGTGACAGCATTGTAAAAAGTGTAATACAAGAGCAGATATAAACGCAAAGCTTAAGTACTTAAATGTCCACACTGCAGCCTATCCATCTACCATCTACCAACTATCCATCCGTCCATCCTTTGATCCATCCATCCAAATGAAAACTCTGAAAATGTTAGTTTGCTGCATAACATGTAACCTGGCAGATTTTAACACCTACTTTTTTTTAATAACAAAAGAAGCACTTTAATTAGTTTGATGAATGAGGCTCTTGGAAAACGTAATGCCCTTAATGCCATCAAACATTAATAACCATTGTTCTTTTGCTGTTAGAAACAATTAAGAATTTAAATAATGTATACCACGGCTGATTGTGAGATTTATCAAGATGGCATTTTTAAAAGTCTGTATTGCAAAAAGAATATTTCATCCACAGAATGTTAAAATTATTTTAATGGTGTTAAAGGAACACTCAAGACACATTAAGCACTCTAGCGTGCTGGAATCTGTCATATTTGTGACAGTTTATAAAAGTGCTGATCTTAATAGAAATTTACACTTTTGCATTTGTGGACAGAAACACCTCCCGTGCTATTACTTAGAAGGCCACAGAGCCAACAGTAGCAGCAGGCATGCTAAGCTAGAGCGTGCCTGCCTTCCTCTGTTCTACAGCTCAATGAGGAACATGGGAAAGCCATGATCACATACTCAATGAGAAGCCTCTGATTGGTGGAAAGAGGGAAGAGCATGTTTAGGTTGCAGACACGTTGCAAGTTATTTTTCATATATCTCCAAAGAAAACATGCAGAGAAATGACATGCATATTTTCTTTTGGGGTAAAGCTATGTTTCAATGGAGTGTCCCTTTAACTAGGAACCCAACATACTTGTATTTTACGATGTTTGATTGAGAACTTCACTTAGGGCTTCATTCTACATTAAGCTGAAGTGATAAAATGTTGTTTGTTTCGTAATTTAGAAACATCATATAAGGACTTTTTAACAGGTGCCAGCAAAGCAGAGCATGTGCATGTATGGTAAGTTGTCTTGATGGGTTAAGGTCAAAGTTGACCTACTCAACATCATAAAAGCCTCAATCAGTACACCCAAACCTAATTACCAATGCAAACTCAATCAGAATATACCCATAACAGTAAACAACCCAAATAAAATAATACAAACGCAATAAATAGTCAATTTCTTGCACAAATTTCGCCCCTGTCATTATGTAACAGGCAGCAGTTTGGGAAAACTCTTGTCTTCCCAGTCAGTACTCTGGCGGAGCGGTCTGTGAGGCAGCCCAAAATTGGAAAAAATCAAGGGTGTCTGGTAAGGGGAGGCTGACTTGTGGCTGGCCAAGTAGTCAGGGTTAGAGACCAGGGCCGGACTGGGAATTAAAAGCAGCCCTAGAAAAAAAATATTTACTAGCCCCATAATGCGTCGCGCCAGCATAGTGTGCAGATACAGAGTTAGAACAGATAACTTAAAATTAAAAAGTACTTCAACGTAAAAAGCGCACTCATAGACTTCAAAATAAACAAAAGTGCAGATTTATTTTAAGCAGACGTGCCTTTGCATGTAATCAATGTTTCAGTCCAACTACCTTGACATATTAAGGAAAGCTTGTTAATGGGACTGAAATGGTGAATGTATGTAGGGCACAACTGTAAAAAATGTTTATATTGAAGTCCTGTGGGTGTGCTCTTCACTTTAAATATGTTATTGTGCTGGAGTATGCACCTAGCAGCAAGACAGGGCCAATATTTGCTCATTACATATGGTACATATTAATGAAATTTCTCTGTGTATTATGCATTTATAAATGTACATTAATATGTGTAAATATAATAGGTATATATATATATAACTAATACACACATTAATATACATGTCATATACTAGTGGCGGATCCAGAGCCTGAGCCTGAGAGGGGCACTTTAGATTATTTAAAGAAATATTCCATGCACAATAACCACTACTCCTCTGTGTAGTGGTTATGGTGCCAGGAGCGTCGGCACCCCCTCCCAGAGTAAGTCATCAAACCGTTTAAGAACAGTTTGACAACTTACCTGGAGTCTGCTGGGATATGGGGCTGTAGTAGGGTATAGGAGCAGTGGTGCAATGTGTGTGAAAGGTTCAGTGTGTGGGTGGGCAGTGTTTAAATGTGTATGGTGTGTGTGTGTGGGGGCAGTGTGTGAATGTGTATGGTGTGTGTGTGTGTGGGGCAGTGTGTGTGTATGGGGCTAGAGTTCACTCCTACTACTGGGACCACCAGGGCTAGAGTTCACCCTCGTGAGAGCCGGAGCATTGCCCCAGGTCCTCTCTTCCTCCCCTGCCGACTGGCTGCACGGTGCCGGCCGGCAGGGGAAAGCCTTGGGGGGGGGGGCCCGTTGCCCCCCCATCCACCAGTGATATATACTGCCCCTATGTGTGTCTCTTTATCTCCAGCCCCTCTGTGTGCCTTTTTGTCTCCCCCAGTCACTCTGTATGTTTCTTTCTCCCCCTCACTGCTCCTCTGTGTCAATGTCTCCCCTCTCCTTCCCAGTCTCTCTCTCCCCCCTCTGCCTCTTTCTTCCCCTCCCCTTGTGTGTCTCTCTCTCATTTCTCCCTCTTTGTCTCTCTCTTCCCCCTCTGCCTCTTTCACCCCCTTTCCCTGTGTCTCTTCCTCCCCCCTTTCCCTGTGTCTCTCCCCATCTCTCTCCCTCCCCTTTCCCTGTGTCTCTCCCCTCCTCCCCTCTCTCTCCCCCTTTCCCTGTGTCTCTCCCCTCCTCCCCCATCTCTCTCCCTCCCCCCCTTTCCTGTGTCTCTCCCCTCCCTCCCCATCTCTCCCTCCCCCCTGTCCCTTGTCTCTCCATCTCTCTCCCTCCCCCTTTCCCTGTTCCTATCTCTCCCCTTTCCTGTCTCTCCCCTCCTCATCTCTCTCCCTCCCCTTTCCCTGTGTCTCTCTCCTCCTCCCCATCTCTCTCCCTCCCCTTCCCCTGTGTCTCTCAGCTCCTCCCTCCCCCCTTTCCCTGTGTCTCTCCCCATCTCTCTCCCTCCCCCCTTTCCCTGTGTTCCTGACCCTATAGTGATCCTTTAAGATGCAAATTGAGATGTACACAGAGCATTTGGTTATGCTGATACTATACAGATTATACAACTTCTACTACTAATAATAATAAAAATGAGAGATGTGCAAAAAACCTGGTTGCAGCCAAACCACTTCTTCCACCAATAAGCAATTCTTTGGGACAGCCACATTCCGGCCACATGGCAGTTTGGCTAGTCTGAATTTAGTTAAATAAAAAATAAAAAATAATGTCCTGAATCATTTCATGGAGGCAATACTACGAGTAATTACCAATAAAATGACTATTTCTTTTTTTAAAAGAATTGATAAAAGCTTCTTGCTTTCATTTCTAAGTCATTACTGTCCATATGATAATTTCCATTTCAATATCAAACCTTAAAAATTGCTGTTTACTTATATGACGATGCTTCCTGCTGGGGCTAATCCGTGTGACCTACTGTTACATTGGTAAGTAAAGAAATGGTTTCTAAGAAATTGACTGGAAACATTTGTCTATAGAAATACACTTTCTTAACTGTGATTATAATGGATTTAGTTCAGATCTTTGAGACAATGAAGACACTGCAATGATGTCAGTTTTAATCTCAAACACAGACAATAACTTTTCCTAGAAATTGGAAATATTTGATAAATGTACTTAAATTTGTATTATTAATTGCTTTTCTACACCCTCTAATTTACCAACGTAATATAGCAAGTGTCTGTCTGTATCTCTAAACAGGAACAAATGCTTTCTTTGGTTGTCGCCCCCTGTTGTATCATAGTATTTACTTTGTTATGACTGGCATTAACTTAATTTTCTATCACTGGACAACATTGCCCTCTGTAATTCATTTGAGGAGATTTATGAAAATTCTAAATTCTATAAAGCGGTATAAAAATTCAATGGTGACCACCACACTTTTAGTACTTTAAATCATGTTTTAGAAGAGAACTCTTTCAGAGTTATTTACTGAAAAGAGAGTTGTCTGAAATTTAAAGTCAATTTCAAATTTAAGTAACTGAACTAGAAGCATACCTGACTGGGAGAACTTTTCCAGTTTGTCAATTTTGGCCTTAAAGGGAAACTATAGTGCCAGGAAAACAAACTTTCCTGGTACTATAGATTCCCCCTCTGTCAAGGCCCCCCCACCCTGTGGTGCAGAAGCGGTTAATACCCCTTCTGTCACTTACCTGGGTCCGGCGCCGATGTCCCTCGATGCTGGCACAGCTCTGCCCAAGCTCCTCAACTCAGACGGCAGACGGCTGTGGAGGCCTAATGCCGCGCTTGCATTAGGAATTCCCCATAGGAAATCGTTATTCAATGCTTTCCTATGGGGATTCCGGTGACACTGGAAGTCCTCATGCATAGCGTGAGGACGTTCACCATCGGTTAGGCGACCAAAAGTCTCCTATCCACCCGGAAGTCCCTCTAGTGGCTGTCTGGTAGACAGCCACTAGAGGAGGAGTTAACCCTGGCAGATATTTATTGCAGTTTCTAAAAACTGCAATAATTGCATGCTCAGGTTTAAGGGTGATGGGAGTTTGCACACAAACCACTTCAATGAGCTGAAGTGGTCTGGGTGTCTACAGTCTCACTTTACATTTGAAATTCACTTTGAGTTCAGAGTAATTTGCATTTTGGTGAATAACTCTGATACATTTTCCCCAGTAGACTTGAATTACATGATCCTGCTGATGTTAGCAATATAGAGGGATTGGCTGTGATCGTTAAGGAGGTGGGGCGGGGTCAAATACTGGCTTCAAAAATCAGCATCTCCTCATAGAGATGCATTGAATGAATGCATCTCTCTGAGAAAAGTCAGTGCTGCACACTGTGCAGTACTACCACAAGAAGCACCTCCACTGGCTGGCTGTGGTAGAATAATTTGAAACATTACCTTGCTTTTTGGAAATTACTGTGAGGTTTACTGTAGAATAAAATGTAGGAAGAAAGGGCTAGCGAATATTGCGAGTGTGAAAAATCTAACCATACAAACACTTCTAAATTATTGAAATCTTTTGTGGTGAAATAATTGAAGATTATACTAGCGTAGTGTACTAATAATCTTAAATTTAATTATGACAGGAGGCGATTATTTTGCATTAACTTTCTTTACTAACTCCATAGCAGCAAAGAAAAAGCAGGTGAAATAAAGAACCAATCAGAACACAGTCAGAGTGTATATAAGTAAAAGCACATCCAGAGCACTTCCTCTTGACAAATGCAACATCACAAGTCCATAACCAAACGGATAACTTTGTATGAAAATCCAACTTTAAACTTGAAAACGATAAGGGAAACAAATTCCTCCCATAGGCACTAACGACTGGTTAAGCTGAAAGAAAAGAGACTAGTTTCAGTGATACAGAATCGACCGTATGAATATATAACAGTGAGCTTTCATAAGCAGATGCTAATAAGACTAAAGTTATCTAACAATATCAGATGTTATCATAACTAGAACTACTCACACATGCAAGAATAAAAACTCCATAACCGAAAATAAGTCTCATGTCATATAGACATATAAAGTACTAGAAATCCCAAGTGTCCTATGACCCTATAACTTACCTTATACCAGGGTTGGGAAGAACAACAAAGAGAAAATACTTGCTTCCTGTCATTATTAAAATTAAGATTATTAGTACACTACGCTAGTATAATCTTAAATTTTACCACATGACAGGAGGCTTCATATTTTAAATTTTAATGCTTAGGAAGAAGAGAAAATGCGGCGTTAGACGACGGACTGAAGTAGAATGTCCGAAACGTAGATACGCGTGACCAGTCCGACGCTTGTAAGATATCCGAAAGAGACGCGCCCGCCATAAAAGCAGACGATGCTACTGCTCCGCGGACGGAGAGGGCACTGTAAGATGGTTCAATCCCGACCAGCGTAAGGAACCATCTAATCCATATGGACAGGGCGGTGACCGAAAACCGGACCATGAGGACTTACATATGATATCAGCAGTTATCGAGATGATGTTGGGTGCACGTCTCCATTGCCTTCACATATGCCCACAATTCCAAAACCACGCATTGTTGAGGGTCCGAGGCGAAGAACGGGTAGAAGACCGACAATGAATCTGATTTAGTTTTGTCGTGAAATATGGAATGTGACTCCCTCCGGAGCGACAGTAAAAGCATCCATGTCAAAAGCCCATACATCTGAGACTCGTCGGAACGAGACGAGACACAGTAGGAAGGTAAATTTGACCGTCAATTGTCGTAAGGATGGAAGTTTGGTAGATGGCCACACTCTCAAGAACCGAAGCAGTACATCCACATCACATAAATGTTGATATTTGGGAGCTGGAGGACGTCTGAGTTTGATGCCTCATAGTTGTCGACAGATCAAGGGGTCTTGACCAACCGCCCTCCCTTGAACCGGTACATGGGCTGCCAATATAGCGGACCTGATGACATTGATGATGCGATATGACTTACCTTCCTCGAAGAGTGAAGAGAGGAAATTCATGATTGCGGAAATAGATGCTGTAAAGGGATCAAGGTTCCATCCCATACACCAACTGGTCCAGGATCACCAGGCAGATAGATAACTTTTCCGTGTTCCTGGGGCCCAGGAATCCCACAGCAGGTCTCTAGTTGCTGATGATAAGTCGTTGGTACACCATGCACCACTGAAAGAGTCAAAGCCACATAGAATATGGGTTCCCCACTGGGTCCCGGAGTAGTGTTGGCCGTCCGGCAGGAGAATTGGATCCTCGCAAGACATGTCGAGGAGGTCTGGGAGCCAGGGATGGCTCGGCCATAACAGTGTCAGAAGGAGAATCGGCACTTCTCGTCTCCGTAGTTGGTGAAGTACTCTCACAATCATTGTGAATGGGGGAAAAGCGTAAGCCCCTTGTTTTGGCCAGTGTTTGGCAAAGGCGTCCACCGCCATGCATTCCGGGTCCGGGAGCCAGCTAGCTGATTTTTGTTGTGTGAGGCAAACAGATCCAGAAGGAGTGGATGTCTGAGGGTTTAATTGCCAGTCGCTGTAAGGTTCGACTCCCCCGATAAATGTTTGGCCCTGATCGTGATGTTGCGCGAAAGGCAATAATCAAAACTTTCCTACGTTAACTCTGTCAGTGTATGAGAGCGAGTACCTCCCAGATGATCGATGTAACGTACGGCAGAGACGTTG